TGTGAGGTTCCCCATGGCAACTGCCGCTTTGCAAGGACCTGTTGTCCCAGGCTCATGGGGAGACACACCACCCACATCCAGAAAGGCTGGCCCTGTGGGCGTGGCCCCTGAGAGGCAGACTCTTGCGTGAATGAGCTTTCAGCTGGTGTTAGAAAGAGCGGGTCATTTATCTTTTATCATCATTAACCTCTCAGGTTAACGAGTATTGCCTCTCCACTCTGGACAACATCTGTCCTTTCAGAACCAGATCAGTTCCTGCAGTAAACTCCCAGGCTCAATTACAGCATTTGCAGCCTGTGTATGAAAACACGTCTCCCCGTCCACCTTCTGACATCCGTTAACTCTGTAGTCAGAGATGCGAGGGTTGTCTATTACTCCAACCTGGTGTCGCAGAGACAAAGTCAGTAAGGTAAGATCTAGCATCTCTCTTTCAGCCTTATCTCTCCCAACCCCAACCCGACCCATGACCCTAGAAAGTTTAGCTCGTGTTTATTTGCCTGAGCTAGCATGCCCCTTCGACACTTTCCCCTCATCTGTGTTTAAAAATGACACCCCCACTGTGGGATTAACCCTCTTATTCCCGTAACCAACTCATTGGATCTCTAACTTTTTTCTTTACATCAGCCTCTTTTGGTTGAGAGATCGGTACCTCCCTGGGAAATAAATTCATTATTCTTCTCGTCTCTGGATTAAAAGATCTTAACACAAAAGCTTCTTCCCTTTCTTGTTTCAAATCATCCTCACTTTACTGCAGCCTTCTGATGTGCCTGAGTGCAGCCATTTTTTCATCTACCTTTAATAATTTCTCGTCTGTTTTCTTTAGTTCCCCTGTCATGTTTTCACAAAAACGCATCTTTTCTTGAATTAAAATATTATATCTAGCATTATCTTTTCCCAATGCAGCCGGTTTTACCTCATTACTTTGTGTTGAGGCGTCCTTCAAAGCTAGCTGACTCATTTTATGTAACTGGCTGATCTTCCTTTCTCTATTAGTCTCAGGTCTGTTCGGAGGTCGCTCAATCTTATTTGTGTCAAAATCGCGTTTTTCTTTTAATTTTCTGTAAACGCTCAGGTTGTCATTTTCCTTTCTGAGCGCTGCTATTCGACTGTCATTCTCTAAAACGAGTTTATTTAGAGTAGAAATCTTTTGATGGAGGATTTTCATTTCTGCATCATGTTTCAAGCCTCTCTGTTGCATATTTTCTGCATGTTTGGCTTCTCGTATTTTATACTCAAAAGCAGATTTTTCTCTAAATGCTGAAATTTCATCTTTCACTTTCTGAATTTCTCTCTCAGTTTGGCTTATTTTGTTTTTCAACTCCCAGTTGTATTCTTCTATATCGTATTGCATTTTAAAATCGCGTCGAGTGCTCTGACCAACAATGACTTGTAGTAAGAAATGATGTTCTCTGTATGACGTATCAAAGCTTATGATCACGTGCTTCTATGAAGCGTTCTGATCTGCCTTGCTGACGCTTGCTCAGAGGTTACTAGAGGTCGCAACGTTCTAATTTGCATATTCATGACGCAATTGCGTTGGTTACGTGAACATTTGCGCCTGGTCACGTGAGTCGAGTGTGAGGAAAATGAAAGTGTGATTATCGCACAAATCTTTCGGCAAACGTGTTCTGCTGGAAATATGCGGATTAATTGCTCGGGTTGCAGGCACGGATCCCCGTTTCTGTCAACTTTGATCTCAGCAGCTGGAGCGGGGATAAAGACGCGCTTCTTCAGATAAAAGTGGTAATTACGTCTAACTTTAATATTGTTAACAATAATTGCAGCAAAGCATCATTTACTGCAGTTAGTCACTAGTGAAGCATAACTTAACTTTCATGAGCAAAAAACCCACAAAAAAGATTCAATAAATCAGCAAAGCGGGAAGAAATGTTATTTTTGTTTTTACATTCTTACTTCATTTCAAACTATAGTGTTTTCTATGGGGTGCCATTTGTAAAGTCAAACAGTCATAATCTAACAGCAATATTTTTGGTTATTTAGCATATCATAAGAGAAAAAATTGAGAGTTCACTTTTTCAAAGTCATATTTTCACCATGTTATTCATACATTTATAAATGTTAAAGTTTCCAAATAAATATTTAGTTAGCACGCTAAATATTTAATTTATAGTTAAATATTTATGTTGCAAACTAAATATTTAGGTCTGATCTAAATACTTAGTTTGTAAAATAAATATTTAATTCACTAACTAAATATTTAATTTACTAATTAAATATTTATTTTGGAAATAAATATTTAAAATTTAAATTAAATATTTAATTTGTAAATTAAATATTTCCAAAGAAATATTTAGATCCCAGCTAAATATTTCTTTTCCATGATGTTATTTAGCTCCACACTATAGTTTATATTTTTGGGTCAGACTTAAATATTTATTTCCCAAATACTGATTTTGCAAACTAAATGTTTAGCTCCAAAATAAATATTTAGCTGGGATCTAAATATTTATTTCGGAAAATAAATATTTAATTTACAAATTAAATATTTAGTTCCAAAATAAATATTTAATTAGTAAATTAAATATTTAGTTAGTGAATTAATGATATGCTAAATAACCAAAAATATTGCTGTTAGATTATGACTGTTTGACTTTACAAATGGCACCCCATATTTGTGATGTCCTTGTGTCAAACGAAAACAGCAGGCCAGTGGAAAGCACTAGTGACTTTGCCATTGAGGATGTTAATGATGAGCATTTGGATGACTTGGCTTTTCCTGAGGTAGACAGTGTTTGTGATACCAGGCAGTTAAGAGAGCAGTTACACAAGAACTTGTCTTCATTGTTCCTGAAGATGGAAAGTATTCTTCATGTTTCTCAAATGGCATCTCAGGAAATAGTTGATACTCTGGCACAAATCATTTCATTGTCAAAGCCTCTCATTAAAACGACTCTGCATGATGTATTACAAAGGCATCAGGTTACTCCTTCCAAGGCTATCCTTAATGATTTGCTGAATGCTGTAAATAATGCAAATATTTTTGCTTGTGCCACAGCTAAAGGGGAGGACTTTTGTTCAAATAAACATAGAAAAACGTTTATTGAAAAGAACTACCCTGTGGTAATGCCTGTTCAGTATGTATTGGAGCCTGGTTGTACAGCAATTCATGTCCCTATATTTGAGATGATCCAAAAAATGTTCCAACATACAGACATTCTTAACAGAATTATGGAAACACATATCTCTTATGAGGGTCTTTACACAAGCCACAGAGATGGGTCATATTTCCAAGGAAATGAGTTGTTTTCTTCATCAGAGCTTTCACTGCCACTGATACTGTACATTGATGACCTTGAAATTGCCAATCCATTGGGCACTTCAAGGAAAATACACAAACTGTGTGCAGTATACTGGATGTTTGCTGATTTGCCAAGTAAATATCGTTCAGGTCTGCATGTCATTCAGCTAGCAGCATTATGTAAGGTACCTGATCTCCACAGGTGTGGCTATGAAAAAGCATTTGGTCCTTTGCTACAAGATCTAAAAACTCTTGAGCAAGATGGTGTATTTATTGAGTGCCTCGGTAAATCTGTTAAAGGGACTATCGTGCGTTGTAGCTGACAACCTGGCAGCCCACTCATTGGCTGGGTTTAGTCAGTGTTTCAGAACTGGATTTATTTGTAGGTTTTGCAATGCAACACGAGACCTAATTCAGTCTCATGATGTTGGAGATGGCAAGTTTAGCCTCAGAACAAAAGCCAGTTATGACCAAAATGTGCAGGAAGTTCTACATGGGGATGGTCATAGTCAGGCAGGTGTGCAACGGAACTGCATCCTGACTGAAAGTTTGCAGTATTTTCATACAACCACAGGCTTCCCTCCTGATGTCCTCCATGACCTTTTTGAGGGAATTGTACCAGTGGAGTTGGCCATGTGTATTCAGGAGATGATCCGGCAGAAATACTTTACTGTGGAGCAGTTGAATAGAAAAATCTTGTCCTTTCCTTACCAACACTCCGATAAAGTTGACAAACCAAAGCCCATCTCAAAGAACTTCTCTACAAGGAGGACCATTGGTGGCAATGGTCATGAGAATATCACATTGCTGAGAGTACTGCCATTCATGAACGGTAATGTAGTCCCTGAGGAAGATGCTGCTTGGACAGTGTTAATGGATTTGAAAGAGGTTGTTGAGCTTATGCTGTGCCCAAGATTTGATGAAGAGTCCATACAGTATTTGCAATCAAAGATAGATGACCACAGAAAAGTGCTGCAGGACATGTTTCCTGAGTTAAGACTGCTTCCAAAACATCATTATATAGAGCACTACCCAGCTCTTATACGTGCTTTTGGGCCACTTGTTCACTTATGGACAATGAGGTTCGAGGGTAAGCATCGCTTTTTCAAGAGGGTAATACATGACACACAAAACTTTAAGAATGTGTTAAAAACATTAGCAACACGGCACCAACACATGGTGGCCTACTACCTCAGTGCACCTTCATTTTTTCAGCCGCATCAGCAGACGACACACGTTACTTCTGTCATGGTTTCAGATCTTCCTGAAGTTGCACAAGAATACATAAAGGATAAAACTGACAGCAGAATTATTTACAGCACATCAAAGATCATTGTTGATGGCACAACTTACAGCCCTGGAATGTTTGTGTCTGTGGGGGAGGATGGGGGACTGCCACAGTTTAGCGAGATCAAAAAAATCCTCCTTGTTAACAATGATGCTGCATTTCTTTGCAAAGAACACAGGTCAAACTACACTGAACATATGAGGTCATATGAACTCTACCCAAGTTGTATGGCTATCCACTGCATGTCAGAGTTTAATGACCGCTTACCCCTTTCTGCATACTACGTGGAAGGGAAACTTCTTTTGACACCAAAACGTTTTATACTTCTACACTGAAAGTGAATTTGCATTATGTGATTTACATATATTTTAAGATTTGTTCCACCCCAAAGTTTCAAAATGCAGATGCTATGTGTGTGTGTGCGTGGTGGTGGTGGTGGTGGGGGGGGGGGGGTTAAGAGAGCAACATTAGACAGTAGTCTGTAAAAAGTAGTTTGCTACTAGAAGTTCTGTTTCCTTTTAGATGTATCTCACTGATTTAATATCACATGATGTGTTTTTCCAAATATTTCTCCTGCAGTTTGTCTCTGTTTTGTAAAATAATTGCTTTGTAAATTCTTATGTATTGTTTGTATGCCTGGTGAGAAAATGTAGATTATGATGTTGAAATAGGGTTAGTTTTTACCGTGACTAAATTAAATGATGGCCTGTGACCAAGGGCGTCAGTTTGTTTTCAGAATTGCTGGGGACAATAACCATACACTTGAGTGGGGTTTAAAAATTGCTGGGGACAATAAAGTAGACTAGCACAGGGGTCGGCAATCCGCGGATCTGGAGCCGCAAGCGGCTCCTCCATCCATTTGATGCGGCTCTCTGTACTTTTAAAATAATGAATGGATATTTAAATAAAATGCTTTATATTTTACTGCATTAATTTTACATCTGTATGCCAATTCTAAATGTAAAGATTGTCTGCGTAAACCTGAACAGGTCCAACCCGGTCTGACTGTGAGACCGGGTTGACGCGTCACGCTTGTGCGTAATCATATGCGCTTCCTGAGCTGGAGGATGTCAGATTCTGGGCTTCTCCTCAGACAGGCTCCTGGATGTGTCGCCACATTGGAGACAGGAACAAGCACTATTCAGCCAAAGTTTCATAATCAGGGAACATTTTCTAAGTGACAAGTCTCTGAGTGACCGGGTTTGGAAAACACTCGCTTCAGTGGGAGGAACTTTCCCGCATGCGCTCTGGTTCTGAGAGCCTGGATTTGTATTCTGAACAGTCTAAACATGTTTTAAAAAGAATCGCGTGACAAAAGTGGCACCTGCTCAGTAAAACCACCAACAGGGTGAAAAATATCTAAATATTGTAGGCAGAGACGGGCTACAACTTCTGGATCCACTTTATATAAATCGTTTTATTCATTATCGTCTTACGAAAGATAACTTTGACGTACACGAGCGACCAGGCGCGTTGCAAACTTTTCAAAAGTGTGGGGGATGTTGTCTGTGCCTAAAATAAGTTCATGCTATTCATCTTGTTAGTTTAATTTCCATAATAGCGGAGCAGGTGCGAATTTTAGATGCGTCACGCACGTCTCCGCTTTAAACATGTTTAAACTGTTCAGAATACAAATCCAGGCTCTGTCTCGTTAGATTGGTGTAACTAAAGTTTGTACTGAATGAAACTTTACATTAAACCATGTTGAAAAGAAAAGGATCCCATTAAATCGTTTCCCCCTCATTTACAGTCATGACATACAGCGCAGTGCACATGGCTCTGGGGTTAATCAAGTTTAGTTGTTTCTCTTTGCAACAATTTTCACAGGAAGGCAAAACAGTTAAATGACAGGTTACAGATATTTCCATTTGACTTTTATTTTGACGGATAAACTCAAGGATGTTCGTTGATTTCCTCCCACTGAAGAGGAAACCCGGTCTCTCTGAGGGATGTGTCACTTGGAAAATGTTATTTTTATGAAATTATGAAAGTTTGGCTGAACAGCGCTTGTTCCTGTCTCCAATATGGAGACGCATGACGCATCCAGTCGCCTCTTCAGCTCAGAAAGCTCCTGTAGAGACATTTGATCACGCACAAAGTTCATGTGGAGCAGAAGCGGTCGGGCCACGGCAGGTGAAACGTTCCTAGCCTACATGAAGTGAAACTGTTTAATTGTAACATTAATATGTTACTGGACACGTAGGTCTGGTTGGTTAGACCAGTGTTTGAAGTGGAACACACACACACACACACCAATTAAAACAATGCTGATAGCATGGACTAGAAGACGGGTGATGGTTTACGTATTTAAATGATGATTAGGCTGCTGTAAAATGTAATCTCCATCCACATCCAGACACAATTATCCTCTATTCTTTCTCTATTTGCTCTGCTCTTGTCTGGGCTAGCGTAGCTGATGGTGCGCGCGGCACGCCTAACGGCTGATGCACATTTTACGCATTTGGAGAGATGGGCTGGATGCTTTGCGTTTACTGAAAGTTGGTCCACTTAACGCACGGGTGTAGACTAAATATTAATGACAAATGAATGAAAATTAAATTGGGAGTTTTTACTTCATATTTTATAAATAAAAAGGATGGGGGAACACATTTATGACGTCTTTTTAAACTAAATTTCCTAGCGCGACCTGCCTGCTTCACTAAGTCACTGCTTATTAAGGTCCAGAATTACCGTGGCCCACCCAAAAATGAAAACCTGGCACCGCGCCAGTTATAAACCTCTGCAAATTGTTGTTCTTCACTTTATCAAACTCAGACTTTGTACAGCTAATGTCAAGATGTAAAATTATTCAGTCGAGCTCTTCCGTCCCTCCCTCTCCTGCTCTCCTGGAAACCCGACATCGGCTGTCAGAAGCGGAGGTGAAGAAGGAGATGAGGCAAACAGAGTGAGTGTGACATAAAGAAACCAGACTGGTGTGGAGGTGAGCAAAACAGCTGGAAAAGTGTGGGTGTTGAATCCCCCACGGGTGCGACGCCCATGGTACCGGCTGCTGTCACCTGGTTGTGAGCAGCTCTCTGCTGTCTGAGGGTAGGCCCTGCCCACAACGATGCGACTGCTGCGGTGTTTTCTTTACTGTGGGAAATGGGTAATAATGGCTCTTTGATGGGAACAGGTTGCCGACCCCTGGTATAAGATCTGAGCTGGTAAAACAAAAATCCTCATCAGCAGGCTTTTTTGAAAGTGGGGGGGACACAGCTGCCAATTACAAATTTTGCCGGGGACATGTCCCCGGTGTCCCCGGTTAAACTGACGCCTATGCCTGTGACTATGTAACATGTAAAATACTTACCTTTGTTCTGGACTGTTGAAAGATTGGCCATAAAATGCTAGAATGCACCCAAAGTAACCAGCATAAATAGTAAGTTTATTTTGTTATGAAATTTACAGTGTACTTTTTAAATTAAAATTGGAAAACAAGACTATAGTATATTTGACCCCCCATTTTTGACAGCTGTAATGATTGCTGAGTATACAATTATCAGACCTTGTAAAGGCTATGTGTATGCATTACCACAAGAGGTACTGCTCCACTTGTGACAGTAAATCTTTTGGGCTATTGCTTGGTACTCAGATGCCAATTCTGAGTACCACTCTGCCATAAAATGACTCATAAAAAAGGTTAATGGTATGATGTTCATTGTTTTTATATGTGTTGAGACCATTGTAGTATTTTTTAATCATCTCCATTCCTTGCTTTATACACAGGATGATGGCAGCATCTCAGAAATTCCTGCTGAGAGTTTACAGCACTACAGATGTTGTTGTGAAGGTTTCTCTAACTAAGCGGCCTGAGTCAGTGGAAGAACTAATCACCATACTCCGGGAGAAGCTCAACCCAAGGCTGGACTTTGAGTTTACCTTACAATACGAAGACCCTGACTTTGATGGGCAACTTACCTGTCTACATGATATTCAAGAGCTACTAGAGAAGAGCACATTAAAAATAGTGCGATCCGAAAGTGATGCCAGTTCTTGTGCAAGTTCTGACACAGACATCCTTCCTCATGTGCCTTTAGCTCAGCGTCTGAAGTGTTGGCCTGACACTTTCCCAGTACCTACCTTTTCTTACGAAGTCGAACATGTCCTTGAGAAGGGAAATAAAGCCTACGAGATGTCTGGAAAGCAACTGAAATTGACACGAGCCCAAAAGCACAACATCTTGGAGACCATGGCTTCAGTGATGCACACCTTCAAAGCCTATCCGAGTGACAGAGATGTGTGTTTGGCAGCAAAAGCTCTTGTTACCACTCATCCATGTCTTAATGAGCCTGGAAGTTATGGTTGGAAGACCAGTTTAAAATTTAAGATGGGAAATTACCGCACCAAGCTAGCCAGAGCCGGATGCGCGGAGGTGTCCGTGAATGCTGGTAGAAGGAGTATCAACAACCCAGAAGGAGAGTATCCCCACTCCAACATAAAAAGAGCACGAAAAGCTGAGGTAAACTACCTCCCAAACTTTCCAAGAGGAGAAGATAAGGCCAGTCTGGAGGAATTGAGAGTCCAGATAAAAAATGAGGTTGAGAAGACCGAGCCCAACAAAGTAATGATTGAAAAACTGATGCAAACAACCTTTGCACTGCGTCGCCATGAGATCGTTCAAGAAAACCCAATGGTGAAGGACTTCTTAGAGAAATGGCCAGCTCTGCGTTTTCACTCACAGGTTGGTGTTGCACTGATTTTTTTTTCTTATTCAATTTAACTTGAAACAATGCAAGTTCAGCAGATCTTCAGATTCAGATTTATTTATTTAACATGTTAAACAAAGTACTTCTTATAAACATTGTTCAAATAGGTAGAAAAAATATCGTAAAGCGCTACAACTAAGCACCCTATTAGTTGTGGTGCTTCAACATTAACTCATTCGCTGCCAGCCGTTTCCTGATCGGTAAATCCCTTTCGCTGCCAGTGTTTCTCACCAATTTTATAGTTTTTTTTAAGAGTCACAGAACGTTGTGTGCTAGGATGTTGACGCCAAAACAACCAAAACAAAGTGGAGACTCACCTTAAATCATGAAGAATCTGCGCATTTCGAGCATTATCCGTTCTTTCATAATCCGTTGTTGAATTGTGATCGGCAGAAGCTTTTCCGGTTCGCACCTCACTTTTTTTTTACAGCAGCCACCCAAAACGATCTAACACATGGATTTTCTACTTCCTGATCACGTCATGTGTGATATATGCGGATGAAGATCGGCTTTAGAGGTGAGAGGTTCAGTCACGATGCGGGGGCTCATTCCAATGCCCACACAGTAAAAACATTCAAATGGCGACTTAAGTCTTCATTGGCAGTGAACGGTGGGATCTAAAATGACGACTTTAGTCATCAATGACAGTGAATGAGTTAAGCCGGGCGTACACTGTGCCACTTTTTCACTCGTAGCACTCAGCTTCAGCTCAAACTGTACGACTTCCTCGCAGGGTAGATCTCACGAGTCATGTGCTCACACTGCACGACCCAGTTCTTGGATGCGACCTGACTGCTCACACTGCACGCCTGGTAGCAACACGTCGGCCCTAAAATATGCTAAAAATAGCAGTTTTTACTCAACACGTGAGACTTTTTTGTCTTGTTTTGCCTGTTGTCCTTCGGGAGTGCTGCAGGACACACAGGGATTTATGGGGGCTGGATGAGTAAAATGAAATAAAGAAAGTAAATCTGTGTTTTGTGATCAGTTTAATTTGACTTGAACACGACAAACACTCTTTCTTGACAGTCTTTGTGAGTAAAAAACGTGTAGAAATTAAAACGAACAAAGTGTGTTATTAGGGAAATAGCGGGCGAGCGGTGTTGATGCAGGATTGCGTATGCGCCGTGAGCGGTTCTGATACTTTTTGCGTCGCAGCTGCTCGCAGCGCCGCTTCAAAAGTGCGATACCCTCACGAGGGACGAGCAAAATATTAAACACGCCAGAAGTTTGTGCGAGCTCTCGATAGCTGGTCATGTGGTGTTAATTGCCTCTCGTAACCCCCTGTATACTACACGACACTCGGCGCAAAACTCGCCCCGATCTTGTGGATTGTCGCACGAGTGGAAAATCAGCTCAAAAAAGTGAAAAAGTCGCACAGTGTACGCCCGGCTTTAAGTAGACAGGCAACCACAGATAAAACTTGCTGAGTCTATAATGTAGGAACTGATGTTCTCTTGAATTAAAGAGAAGTTTTCTTACATTCATTAGGCTCATGATGCCAAATTTTTTTTTTCAGATTTGTGATACAGTTGTGTTGGAAAGGTTAAGTTCAAATTGAAAAACAAATGTTAAAATGACAGCATTAAGATAAAACTGGGCACAAATTTGGAAATCCCTCTTTAAATATAAGATTTCTCAATTTGGCCAGTAATTTTGCTTTATATTGGATGTTTTCATGTTCCTGTATTTTTAGGTTTGTGCGGAGTTCCACCGAGTCACAAACATCAACCTGCAGAAACAGTTCTATGCTGAACTTGACAGACACACACCACGACTTATGGCTCTATACAGACAGAAGGCCACATGCACTGGCAAGATATCGGAGGCTCTGCGAAACTTTCTGAATCATTATGATCATCATGTGAATATTGATAAAGATAAAATTGCTACCACAAATTTAAAAAGTTTCTATGTTAATCACTCAATTTTGCTTGTTTTTAGACTGCCTATGGGCTACTGTTAATTGCTGGGAACATCTGTTTTCTATATACACCAAAGACAAATATAAATGCAACACTTTTGTTTTTGCTCCCATTATTCATGAGCTGAACTCAAACATCTGAAACTTGGTCCACATTCACAAAACACCCATGACTTTCAAATACTGTTCTGAAATCTGTCTACATGTGTGTTAGTGAGCACTTATCCTTTACCAAGATAAACCATCCCACCTCACAGGTGTGGCATATCAGGGGGCTGATTAGACAGCATGAATAATGTACAGGTGTGCCTTAGACTGCCCACAATAAAAGGCCACCCTAAAATGTGCAGTTTGATCAAACAGCACAATGCCACAGATGTTGCAACCTTTGAGGGAGCGTGCAATTGGCATGCTGACTGCAGGAATGTCTACCAGAGCTGTTGCCCATGAAAGGAATGTTCATCTCTCTACCATAAGCCGTCTTTAAAGGCGTTTCAGAGAACTTGGCAGTATATCCAACAGGCCTAAAAAATGGGAGCAAAAACAAAAGTGTTAGTCTAGATAACCCTGAAAAAAAATGTTTAGGGTTTTTGTCAAATGAGTAAGAAACAAGCTCTTTGTCATGAGAGACAGGTTGTGTCTCAAAAGAAATGTCTCCAAAATTATGCAGAGCCTAATGTGTCATAAACATGTATTATCCCCAGGCAATGACACCTGTAAACTTAGTGTTAAATTAACTCTTATTTTCTTTTCCCTTTATAGGAAGCACCTGATGTCGATGTGAAACGGACTGCAGTGCTACGTGCCCTTCCAGTATACCTGCGGGAGGAAGACCCAGAATTCTTTAAGACATGTGATGTAAGTGTCTCTTGCATTACTTAAATTCTACCAGTGAGATAACATACCATGGATTATTTTATATGGTTTTATTACAAAGCAGCTTCACAATTGCTTTAACAAACATTGCATTAGACTTGTGTGTTGGGGGGGATCAAACCTGGGCTCAAATTAGGGTGTGTGTGTCACAAGTGGGGGTGGGAGGAGGCAAACCCAAATAGATTGTGCACACACAGAAACCCTGATTTCGCTATTGACCCTTTGCACGAGACTGCCCCGTTCTCCATGATGGTCGGCAAAAAGACCGTTTACACACGTCAAAATTCCGGTGAAGCTAGTCAAAACAAGCCCGTTGTAGCCCTTTATCGCTTTTATTTACTTGGTTTCACAGTAAAATGGTAACAACTTGCTACGTGGCCAGCTGCACTAACAGAAGGATGTAAAGTCAACTCATTTCCTTATTTTTTTTTCAAATAACGTTGATTGAGACTGAGGACGGAGATGAACTACAGCTATCAATCAAACGGACTAGCAACCCTCAGGTTTACAGCTAATGTGTTTTTACCTGGTAAAATTAACGTTTATTTAATTCATGACGAGGACAGGGACAAATGTGATGCGTTCTTCTGATGGATATTTCACCATGGAAGACGCACGCATACCGCGGTACCGTCCACTGTAGTGAACATGCATATTACACCAGAATTCCGTCGCCCCGTTTTTTTAAGATGGCGACTGTACGTCTTATGTTTATAAATGTTCTTCTGTAGCTGACAAGCAGAGCTAAAACACGTTGTTTTACAGGTATTATTCTCATGTCATGATGTGTTTTCATATATTTATATTTTAAACACTTGTCCATGAAAAGTTCATCAACTCTGCATCAGCCAGGTACTTCCTTAAATTTGAAGCAAGAACGCGGTAGTCTAAACGCTACTCGTTAATTCTGGTCGGCGCTCATTTTCCTATTTCGCGGGGCAGGGGCACAAACTTTCTGCTTCCTGTTTTGTTGCTCTCCTGTGTCTTCGTTTTGTTTCTTTCTCACATTCTTTTTGATGTTCTCTTTTTCATGTGATGAGTTGGCATCCTGTTTCTCCGACTTATGTTTTACTGCAGTTTTGCGTTAACGCACCAACAAAACCATACCTGTTGGTAGATTTGTAGCAAAGCGTTGATGACGTCGACGGCTTGATTCTAAAAATTCGTTGACGTCAGATCCAGTAGTCGACGCACCATGCCCACTTGTTGCATCCCCAGGAGTTTGTAAATAGAGGAGGAATCTGCCTGTTTTTCCTCTAGTTCGCCCTCTTCTCCGCCTTCACTAACATCTCCGCCAATTACCGAAGACCCGGAACAATGTCCGTCCGCTACTAGATTCCTTTCCTGTTTTGCCCGCCTTCGTCTCCCGCTCGATACCCAACCCTAGTTGCTATAAACACACAAATCTAATTAATTAATTTACACATTTTCTAAAAGAATAGTAAATAGAGGACTCTTGATGTGTCACTAACGTGTTACCCACAAGACTGCAGAATATTTTGCTAGATTACAAATAATGCTTGTCACGGCCCTTCAAGTCAACCTTACTTATTGATACTGTGTTTATTCCAGGCGGGCACGCTAGATGAGACGAACCTGACTGACACTCCAGTTGCCCTTCTCACAGTGGTTGCTGACGGCTCTGCTGAGACCAGTCCATTCCATTTCAGTCCTTCAAGCATGGCTGTTGTGGTGGAAGGCGACTTGGTGATCCGTGATATTGCCAGATTTGCTGATGCATATGCCTTATTGTTTGGCTTGATCTATGCTCTGCATTTGGACCACCCCAGGAAACTAGTTCACACATTCACCTTTGTCCAGAAAGTCTTCATGGGGCTTGATGATGGCAAACCACTGAAACCCAGCCTTCATGCTCTTAGAAATGATTTGTTACAGAGTGAGTAGTTATGAAAGATATGCAAGGCAACTGGTTGTTAGGACAGGCACACTGTTACTGAGCACCTTCTTTGAAGTATTTTATTTAAAGCACTTTTAAGTTTTCTACAGGCTTTGGGTGGATGTAATTCCCATCAGTTTACCTCATTTTTTTTATACAAGGTTATTTGGGTGCCGATAAACATTATTTGAACCTGTTAAAAAATATTTATTTTATTTAATTTTTGTTTATTTAAAAAAATCTCTTTTGTGTTTGACCTTTTGTTTTTCATTTTTATATATTAGAAGAAAGATGACTTTTAGGACTGATGTTCTTTTATGATTTTATAAAAATTTTATTAAATGTTATTAGCAGCATTTTGTACGCTCACTTGTGCTCCAGTCCATGTCAGTGGTTCCATGTTGATGGTTTTATAAAAAAAACATTTATGTGATGTTTTTCACAAGTCCATAAAAATGTTAATAAACAAAATGTTAAGTGAATCGCCATATACTTTTTTTGAGTGGTCCACACACAATTAAAAAAGAAAGGTAATTTAATTAGTTAATAATCATATTACTTGAGTTTAGGTTGTAATATAATTACATTCTGTTGCATCAAATAATTTAACTACAAGTAACACAAAAATGTTAAAATTAAAATATATAAGTTTTAAGTTTATCTTAATTATTTAAATATAGAATATTATCTGAAAATTTTAAGTTAACAATAAATACAAATTTTGAGTACAACCATACTTAAAACATATGGTTTGTCTACTTAAAACTTTTGTGGAAACTGATTACCTCAAAAATTTTAAGTTCAGTCAACTTATTCGGGTTTACAGTGATAAGGTGAAAAAGTAAGAATCCAGGCAGCAGTTTTTCTGGAGAGTTTAGAGGAGATGCAGGAAGATGAGAGACAGACAGGACAGGAAAATAGTTCAATAAAAACAAGAAAACAAAACAAAAAGTAATGTAGGTAGATTTATCTCCACTACACGTTTTTACCTGTATAAAGCAATAAGTTATACACATGTCACATTTATACATCTGATACAGCTCAGATCACCTTCAAAACTCAGTCACACACCCAGGGCTGTTTCAAGACATTTTGGGGGCCAAGGCAAAATGACCCCCCCCCCCCCCCCCAATAACTGGGCTCCCCAGAAGCCTCTGTAATTCATACCCTCTCCAGGAGTATTAGTTATACAGTGTTTGTAAAAGCTCCTCAGACATCACTGACATGTTCTAATATCATCAGATGAAAAACGTTGGTTACGTATTGTAACCCCAGATTCTATGAGTCTAGTCGCAGCCCTTAAGCGAGCTGCTTTTGGAAGGGTGATCTCAGCATCAGCCAATCATGAAGAGCTTAAATGTACGCCCACCACGTGGGCACCCCTTGTGGGTTATATAAGTGGAACAACCCCACTGTTTGCCTCCGATGGCTCTTAGTCCTAACAGAACCAGTGGGGCCAGTGGCTTAAGGGCTGCGACTAGACTCATAGAATCTGGGGTTACAATACGTAACCAATGTTCTATTTCGTCTAGTCTTAGCCCTTAAGCGAGCTGCTATTGGAATAATGCGCAGCTGGATGGGTTTACGCCACACTGGTTAGCTCAACCAATGGACACACCCAACAAGTCTCCTTTTAGTGAGGGTCGCTCAGCCTCAGCCCAGGGCTTAAAAGGCTGACGCAGCCAGAGATAAGAGTGAGGCCCCCACTAAAAAATATCATCCACAAGAGGATGAAATTCATTCAAGTAAGGCTGATGTGGTGCCATAATGCATTCACTCAGCCTGCTGAGGTCCAAGCACTGAACGAGTGATGGATCCTGAAGACACATCTCGTAAATAATAACAAGTAAAGGAACAGGGTGAAGCCCATGAAGCAGCCTGACAAATGACTTCCATTGACACACCACTGTGGGGCGCCATAGAAGAGGAAATCCCTCTGGCTGAGTGAGCCCTGAGTGTCTCAGGGGGATCCCGCCCTGCTGATGTGTAAGCGTGAAATGGCGTCACATAGCCAGAGTCAAAGGCGCTGGGCCAACAGCGCGTGCCCAAGGGAAGACTCCCTGTAGCGCACAAACATGCTTTGTGAGCGGCGAATCCCTGAAGTGCGTGACACATATCGTGCGAGCGCGTGCACCGAGCAGAGAAGATGGGAAGTCGCCTCCTCATCAGAATTATGGGGAGGAGGAAAAAGTTCAGCCAATGAAAATTGACCTGGATTTGAAGGAAGTATTAATGTTTTTGGGCACAAAGGCTGGGGCATAAAACAGCAGACCCTCCATCTTCCCGGATCCTGAGGCATGCGGGAGCCACTGAGAGGGCGAGTTAGGTCGCTCACTCTCTTGACTGATGCCAGTGCCAGCAGCAAGGCAGTTGTGACAGGAACTTGAGTGAGACCTGGTCCAAGGGTTCAAATGGGGCTTCAAATAAGCCACGCAGAACCACCGTTAGATCCCACTGGGGAACTAGCGGGCGGGACACAGGCCTGTTCCTTCTGACACCTTTTAGAAAACGTTTTGTGAGGGGATGACTGAAAACAGACCCATCACCAAAATCCTGGTGACAGGATGAGATAGCTGCAGCATGTTTTAATAGTGCTGATACAAGGCCCCTGTCCATCAGTATCTGTAGAAACAATAGGACATCCGCCAGCTGGCAGGAGAGCGCTTGAAAATTCCGCTCTGTGCACCATTTCTGGAAAGCTGCCCATTTAGCAGCATAAGATGTGATGGTGCAGCCGCGCACTCTGAATCGTGGTGACCACATCATGCGGCAGCCCAGAAACAAACCCCTAAGCGTGACCGCTCAGCGGCCAGACTTACAGCCGTTGGCCTATTTCTGGAGGATGTTTGATTATCCCATCCGCCTGGGGAGGGGCGTCCTCCCTTCGCGGGAGTCTCCACGGGGAGCCGGACAGTAGCGCTTGCAGGTCCGGAAACCATGACGCGGACAGGCGTCTGGGAGCCACCAGAATTACCGAGAGCTGTTCTGACCAAACTCGGTCCAGGAGACGGGGAATCAGAGGAACTGGTGGAAACGCATACAGGAGCGTTCGAGGCCAGGGCTGGTGTGAGAAGGCGTCCGCCCCAAACGGGGGTTGGTCCCGGGGACTCAGGGAAAACCACAGGCGACACTGAGCGTTTTCGTGAGCCGTGAACAGCTCCACAGACAGTTCCCCGAACTTTATCCAGATGTGCGGAATGCAGACGCCAGTCGGAGTCGCGGGGACCCCTCTCGACAGGATGTCTGCCGCTACATTCAGGATCCCCAGAATGTAGGTGGCACAGCAGGTGGACATGTGCCCAACACAGTAAACCTGTGGCTACGCGCAATAGTGGGAGGGATCGAACTCCCCTTTGGCGATTTATGTAGGCTGTCGCCACCTGGCTGTCTGTGTGAACTTCGGCATGACGGCCATCGAGAAGGGCAGCAAAGTGTCTGAGCGCATTCCTCACTGTCATAAGCTCCAACACATTTATGTGCTCGTGCGTGTGGGAGGGCCAGCGATCTGCCGCCGTATGGGACAAGCACGTGCCCCCCACCCCAGACAGTGACGCATCCGTAAACACAGATACGTGTGACGTAGGACTTCCGATGGGAACCCGTGTGAGAGGATGCAGGGGTTCCCCCAGTGAGCGAGACCCCCGCCCACTGAGGGGGGAACCCTCAACATACGTCTCTTCTGACGTATCGGGTGTACCCGGAGGCGGATGAGCGTTGCAGGCGCCTCGAGCGCAACAACCCTAGTAGCACCGCCGAGTGGGCTGCAGCCATCATGCCCAGAAGTCTCATGACTAACAGGGCTCTCACGATCTTGCGGGGTTGCACGCGGGAGATCACCGTGGTGAGATCTGCCGCTCTCACAGGCGACAAACGTGCTCTCATTAGGGAGGCGTTCAGCTCCACCCCGAGAAACACAATCGACTGGGATGGAAGGATGGAGTTCTTCCCCCAGTTTATAGAAAACCTCAGGGTTGACAGATGCTCTGTTAATTTCCTGGTTTGCTCTGACGCCTCGTCCTCGGACCAGGGGCATCGGAGCAGATCGTCCCGGTAAAATAAAACCCTCGTTCCCGCCGTGCGCAGTGGCTGCAGCGCGGTCTCCAGACATTTGGAGAAAGTGCGCTGGGCTAGCGAGTAGCCGAAAGGGAGGCATTCGTGCGCGCGTTTCGACAGCGGACGTGTGCTCGAGGTCACGTGAGGATTGGGTTCGCGCCCTTACCGCCGTCGCTTGTACCAGAGAACTGGGAGCGACCCATGGAGGGCTGTGCTCGAAAGGGCGAGTGTGAAACAGCTGGAAGAGGCTGATCCGCACCGCAGAGCGTGGAGTCCAAGGATGAAGGACGAGTGGGAGCCGGGCCCGTGCATGGGAACGACAAAGTGCCAGCGGATGGAGCCGCGCAACGTGCACGCTTTGCGCGTGGTCGCGACAGCACCATGACATCCCGTCCCACCCAACGCTGTGGGGGAAGAAGGATGAGTCGGGCCTGGCCGTAGGCTGGGGCCGTTGCGCAAATGGAGCGCACCCTTACAGCAAGCCGTGTAACATGACCGAGTCAGACTGTGTGAACATGCAGATGTGCTGCAGTGCTTGGTGCGGGGAACATCATGTGTGAGGATTCGGCAGAGGGTTCTGCAGAGGACTGTAGGACTGTGCTCTCGATGTGACGTTTTTTGGGTTTTATTTCAAAACCAAAATCATTCACAGAGTTAACATTAGTCATAAGCACACACATTCCTCCAACGAGTCATTTTCGTGGTTGTTTTCGGCGAGATTCCTGTGACTGAGACTGCCAAGGCTGTGTCTGCTGGCTCATTCGGAACCATTGGCCGCCAACTCCCTGGTCCCGCCTCAGTGGGAGGCCGGCTCTGCGGGGCTGGCCATGCAGCTGGGCGCCTGGAGTTTCCTTGCCGTTCGTCCCATCCTCTGGGGTGGTTCTTGGCCTCGACGCCACACAGCGAAGCCAAGTCCGGCTCCAGTGAGGGAACGGATGGCCAGCCCAGGTCGGAGAAGCCCTCGACCTTGGTAATGGGCACATATGTGGAAATTGGCGCCTTGAACCCGGCAGGCTCGGAGAAGGCGGCGGACCAGCAGCTCATGGCAGCGGGGAAGCGTGGCCAGACGGGTTCTGGACAGCGCGTCTGCGTCGCCCCAAAAATTCCCGTCAATTCATCTGCCTCAGGCGGAGCCGGTTCTGGAACGGCTAGCCCCTTGCGGGCCGCAGCCGCGGAGATGATGGTGGGCAACTCCTGGAGCAGTGCTCTAACTGCTGGCAGGGAGGAGCGAGAAGCCACTGGGGCAGAAGGACCCGCTGAGCGAGGCTTGTCGACCTCCGTGTTGTACAGGAGGGAAAAGGGGCTACGGCAGCCAAGCTCGTCGTGCTCCTCACGAGGCTCGTCGACCTCCTTGTTGTACAGGAGGGAATAATGGCTGCGGCATGCAGCCTCGTCGTACTCCTCACGAGGCTCGTCGACCTCCGTGTTG